GAAGACAAGCCCCGCTGCCGCACCACCACGGACTGCAATGACGCAAGTTGGGAGCACGCAAGACCACCAAGAAGCAGACCACAGCAGTCAAGGCGAGAAAGAACAGTGGAATGAACCAGCACCCCAGTCGCATCTGGCGCCAAGCAGGGTCGATTCCGCACAATGTCCTTGAGATGGAAGCGACAGGATTCGGCAATAGACTGAATATGAGGTGTGAAGGAGAGGTCGGAATCAAAGAAAACACCTAGGCAGCAACCCTGCATGGCGGAGCTGATGGCAGCACCATTGACCTGGACACAGACAGACACAGGAGTAGCAACACATGAGGGAGGAAAGAACAGAACTTCAGCCCTGGTCAAGTTTAGTCCAAGGAAGTGGGCAGCCATTCAGTCGGATATACTAGCACGTGGTTGCCGAGCAGTACCTTCATTAATGCTAGGAGGGCCTTCGTCACTGCGGGCACCACAAGGTGAGGCTGAACATGTGACAGCAGGAGAGTGTGGTTATGAGGGTATTGAACTAATTTACATTTGCAGAGGAAAGAGCCAAACTGTATGAGTGCAGCATAAATTTATAGTGGAGAAAGTCAGATGCACAGCGTTCAGCAGTTCTGGAGCATTTTTGGAGGTATCGAGTCATCTTGGTGTGCCAAGGTTTTTATTGGGGGCGCTTGCTGTGTTTAATTGCCATGATGTCTAGTTGAGAGGAGGGGGTGGAATTATAGAAGGAGGTTGCAGAGCTAGGACAGGTGAGGTTTGATATAGGTAAAAGAAGAGTTTGGAGATTAGTGGAGAAATGACAAGACATTGGAGGTTTCTGTGAGATTGATGTTCAGACGGTGGTGTCAATTGGGTCTTAGTTATTCTGATGTCAAAAGTCAGCAGATGGTGGTCAGATAGAAGAAAAGGAATATTGGAGAGACTGGAGGCGGTACAGAGATTGGTGAAGGCGAGATCAAGAGTGTTTCCCGCTGTATGGGTTCCTAAATTTGACCATTGCGTAAGGCCAAAAGAGGAGGTTACAGAGAGCAGACGAGAGGCATCAGTGCAGTTGGGTTTGTTGATTGGGATATTGAAATCCCCAAGTATAAGGGAAGGAGTGCTAGATGAGAGGAAGTGGGTAAGCCAGGAAGAAAAGTGCTCAATGAATAGTCTAGGATGAC